TCCCGGCTGGCCTGCCCGGAGGCTCTTTCCTCTCAATAAAGCCTGAACTTAAGGAATTTCCTCTAGCCTGCGGTCCGGTTTCTTTCCCAATGAGCCCAGTCTTCCCGCAGAGGGTAGGTCGGACACTGATCATTACTCTGTAGTTAGGCTTTCAAGTCCCCGGTGTCAGGATTAACCTGTCTTGGTTGTTGGTCTCATCTCTTGTTTCCGGGAATAATTGGCAACTGAGAGTCAGTGTCAAAATTTTAGTCTCGTTTGAGTAACAATGGAGTTTGAAGAAAATGGCCCTTAGGCTGTTTATCTGGTGTGTATTATTAAGTTTAATTTTGCTTGTTTTTTAATCTTTTGTCTTCTTTTAAAATTTTGGGGCAGTATTATTTTGTTAGGAGCTGCATTTTTGTGAAAATTTAACACAAGCAATAGATAAAAAGTTTTAAAAGGGGAAATTAAAGTACATTATTAGTAATTTGACAATTTTAGTTTGTATAATCGTTTTGAGCCATGAACTGAGACTTAAAAGACTACCAATTGAATTAATTAAATGGCCATAGGGAATTCAGTTACACCTGTGGTAATTATATGACCTGTTTTGTTAATTTTCTGTGTATGATTCTTAACTTTTTTAGGTATACCATGTAATATTAGTAATAGTATAGACTTTTAAAATTTCTTTTTAATCTTAATTTAATTTAATTTTGAGTCAGGGTCTTGCTCTGTTGCTCAGGCTGGATCATGCTAACTGCAGCCTGGATCTCCCAGGCTCAGGCAGTCTCCCCACTCAGCCTTCCGAGTAGCTGAGTGCACAGGTGCGTGCCACCACAACTGGCCTTTTTTGTAGAAATGGAGTCTCCCCATGTTGTCCTGGCTGATCTTGAACTGTTGGGCTCAAGCAACCCTCCAGCTTCATCCTTCCAAAGTGCTGGGATTATAGGTGTCAGCCACTGCACCCACTACTCTAGCCTTTTAAAGTTTTAACTAATGGATATTAAAGGATTTTTAAGTTCTTGTTTTTGTTTTTCTTCTTCTTTTTTTTTTTAAAGAGATTGTGGCCTTGAACTCCTGGGCTCCAGGGATCTTCCTGTTTCAGCCTCCTGAGTAGCTGGAACTATAGGCCCGCACCACAAAGCCTGGCTAGTATTTTTCTTTTTTATAGAGACAAGGTTTCATTACATTGCCCAGGCTGGTCTCAAACTCCCGGCCTCAAGTGATCCTCCTACTTTGGCCTCCCGAAGCACTAGGATTACTGGCATGAGCCACCACGCCTGGCCTAGGTTAGCTTTTATGTTACTAGTTGAAGTTATTGATTGTGAAATTTTAATTATACTCTTTTGTTCAATGAAAAAGGTAGGCATTAAGGAGGATAAAAGTTTGATTATGATACGGACTGTTGCATTGGTATCTTTGAAAAAGTTGTCTATAATATGAAAACATTTACTTTTTTTTTTAACCAAGACTTCCCTCCACAAGTAAAAACCGTTAACTTTTCCTGGGAGCTGCAGTTTCAGTTTCCTTGGTCATGACATTGGGTGGTTTGGTGAATGTTTTGTGTGGCCTGTATATCAGGCATGAGGCTTGGTTTTTAAAAGTAATTCAGTTTTCGTTTAGAAACAGAGTATTTTTTGTTTTTCGTTAGAGAGTTGGAGGAAATTTTGGAGGAAATTAGAATTTAGTTTAATATGGTATATAGGTAGATAAAAGGAATTGGAAAATAATGTATGGGGTTACAGTCTAAGAGGTGTTTTATAGGTTTTTTTAGAACATAATTTAAAAAATGATTATATAGGAATCTTAGATTTAAAAACTTTTTAAGGCTGGGAGACCAAATCGAAGCAGATATTAGCTTTTTAAAAAAGTCTTAAAGTTTTTGAGCCTGTAAGGAAGTAACAATTTTTAGTTATTGTCAGGTTGAGAACTCTTGAAGTCAGGCATTTTATGTGCATTTAAAAATACGATGGTTTAATCAATGTTTTTAATTGTATTTTTTATAAAGAAAGAGTAGATTTTAATTGAATTTGTGTAAATAATTATGTTGTTATAAAAATTATGAATAGTTTTTGAACTTTTGAAGGAATTAAGTAGGGAGAAAAAGCAAATGTTTTTTATCTTTGTTTATAAAAGTATATTTTGGCCAGGCACAGTGGCTCACGCCTATAATCCTAGCACTTTAGGAGGCCGAGGTGGGTGGATCACCTGAGGTCAGGAGTTCGAGGCCATTCTGGGTAACACAGTGAAACCCGTCTCTACTAAAAAAAAAAAAAAATTAGCCGGGCTTAGCGGCATGTGTCTGTAATCCCAGCTACTCAGAAGGCTGAGGCAGGAAAATTGCTTGAACCTGGGAGGCGGAAGTTGCAGTGAGCTGAGATCATGCCACTGCCCTCCAGCCTGGGCAACAGGGTGAGACTCTGTCTCAAAAACAAAAAGTATATTTTATTAGGTTATTATTATTATTATTATTGAGACAGGGTCTTACTCTGTCCCCAAGGCTAGAGTACAGCGGCATGATCAAGCTCACTGCAGCCTCAATCTCCCAGGCTCAAGCGATCTTTCCACCTCAGCCTCCTGAGTAGCTGGGACTACAGGTCATGGGCCACCATACCTGGCTATTTATTTTTAATAGAGACAAGGTCTTGCTATGTTACGCAGGCTATTATTGTAAATTATTGATCACATATGAGATAAATTTTTCTTTAATTTTTTCTTTTTTAGAAATGGGATCTCACTTTGTCACCCAGACTGGAGTGCAGTGATGCATTCATAGCTCCATTGCAGCCTCTGAACTCATAAACTCAAGCAATCCTCCTGCCTCAGTCTTCCAAGTGGGGACTACAGGCATACGCCACCATACCTGACACATTAAAAAATTTTTTTTTGTAGAGATGGGGGTCTCACTTTGTTACCTAGGTTGGTCTTGAACACCTGGCTTCAAGTGATCCTCCTGCCTTGACCTCCCAAAATATTGGGATTACAGGTGTGAGCCACCATGTCTGGTCAAAAATTTTTTAATTGAAAAAGAAACAGTATGGCCAGGCGTGGTGGCTCAAAAAACTCTCACATTATTATGAACACCTCTATTCACACAAACTAGAAAACTTACAAGAAATGAATTAATTCCTGGAAACATACAACCTCCCAGGATTGAACTAGGAAGAAATAGAAATCCTGTACATGCCAGTAATGAGTTCTGAAATTGAATAAAGTAATAAAAAGCCTACCAAGCAGAAAAAGCCCAGGACTGGATGGATTCATAGTTGAATTCTACTGGATGTATCAAGAAGAACTTGTACCATTCCTATCAAAACTATTCCCCAAAATTGAGGCGAGGGGACTTCTCCCTAACTTATTCTATGAGACCAACATTATTCTTTTTTTTCTGAGACAGAGTTTTGCTCTTGTTGCCCAGGCTGGAGTATAGTGGCATGATCTTGGCTCATTGCAACCTGTGCCTCCTGGGTTCAAATGATTCTCCTGCCTCAGCCTCCCAAGTAACTGGGATTACAGATGTGCACTACCACACCTGGGTAATTTTTATATTTTTATAGAGATGGGGTTTCGCCATGTTGATCAGGCTGGTCTTGAACTCCTGACCTCAGGTGATCCACCTGCCTCACTCTCCCAAAGAACTGGGATTACAAGCATGAGCCACTGCACCCAGCTGCTTGTAGTAATTTTATTAAGTGTAAATTAATATTTTAAGAAAACCTTATTGTTTTAACATAGGGGACCAATTTTTTTTGTTTTGTATTAATGTAGTTTTAGCACTAAAGTTTAATATTTAGAAAGACATAAATAACTTTTTAATTAGTCAATTTGATTATGCACAAAACTTCTAAAATAAATCTTTTAAATGAACCTTATTATAACTTATTTAGATCATTGATGACATGTTTGGACTTTCTGTCTTGCTTTATTGATTGTTGACCCTTGAACAACAGAGGTTTGAACAGCATAGATCTACTTCCATATTAATTTATTTGAACCAAACATGGATCAAAACTACAGTATTAATGGGATATGACACTCTGGTACATGGAGAGCCAAATTTTTGTATGGGGAGGTTCTTTAGGACAGACTGGGGGACTTGAGTATGCATGGATTTTGGTATACTTGGGAGTCCTAGAGCCAATCCCCCTACCAAGGGATGACTGTATATATATATTTGAAATAACTAGTTTATTTTAGGACAAAAATATAGTATATACAATTTTATTTATTTAGTTAGTTTTTTGAGACAGAGTTTTGCTTTTGTTACCCAGGCTGGAGCGCAATGGTGCGATCTCAGCTCACCACAACCTCTGCCTCCTGGGTTCAGGCAATTCTCCTGTCTCAGCCTCCTGAGTAGCTGGGACTACAGGCACGCGCCACCATGCCCAGCTAATTTTTTGTATTTTTAGTAGAGACAGGGTTTCACCATGTTTACCAGAATAGTTTCGATCTCTTGACCTCATGATCCACCTGCCTCAGCCTCCCAAAGTGCTGGGATTACAGGCGTGAGCCACTGCGCCTGGCCAGTATACACAATTTTTAAAATTTTTATTCAGAGACAGGGTTTTGCTCTATTGTTCAGGCTGGAATGCAGTGGCATAATCATAGCTCACTGCAACCTCAATGCACTGGGCTTAAATAATTCTCCTGCCTCAGCCTCCTGTGTGTCTAGGACTACAATTGTGCCCCACCGTGCCCAGGTAATTTATTTTTTATTTTTTATAAAGACAGGGTCTTGTTATGTTCTTGGGTTGGTCTTGATCTTTTGGCCTCAAGTGATCCTCCTGTCTCAGCCTCCCAAAGTGCTGGGATTACAAGCATAAGTCACCATGTCAGGCTGAGATTTATTTTAATATAAATTTATTATTATTTTTTTTTTGTTAAAGATGGGGTTTCACATGTTGGCCAGGCTGGTCTTGAACTGCTGACCTCAGGTGATCCACCCACCTTGGTGTCCCAAAGTGCTTGGATTACAGGGGTGAGCCACCGCGCCTGGCCAATATAAGATATTTTTAACCTTTTTTTTTTTTTTTTTTTTTTTTTTTTTTAAAGCGCCGATCCTGTTTATTCAGCAGGAAAACTCGGCAATCCACGAGCGCCCCAGAGGCGGACAGGTGGGCTTAATCCTCCTCCTCGTCATCCCCAGCCCCAGCCCCGCTCTGACCCTTCTTGGCATTCTTCCTCTTCACGTGGCCCGGGCGGCCACCCCCGTAGGGAGAGAGGAGGGAGAAGTCGATGTGCTTCTGGGAATCCAGGCGGACAATGAAGGAAGGGATGTTCACCACCTGCTTGCGGACCCTGATATGGCGCTGGCGGATCAGTACACGTGCGTGGTGGATGGACTTGGCCAAGCCCAGCTTGAAGACCTGGGTCTGCAGGCGTCTCTCTAAGAAATCCTCAATCTTCAGGCCCGGGATGTAATCCAGCTTCATCTTGCCCTCATCCAGCACCCCAATGCGGACCAGCCGCCGCAGCAGGGCGTTGCCTTCGAAAAGACGCCGTGGATCCTTCTCGTCAAGTGTCAGCAGCTCTCGAGCGGCCTTGCGGATCTTGGCCAGGGTAAACTTGACCCTCCAGACCTCACGTTTGTTCCGAAGCCCATACTCGCCGATCAGCTTCAGCTCTTGGTCGAGACGAGGTTTCTCGAAGGGTCTCCGCGGGGTCACATAAGTTTTGCGACAAACCCAGCTCCGGGCCGCTGGCATGCTGGCTGGCTCCGCTTACCCGTCTGCGCCTAAGTACGGGGCCCGGTCACTGAGGAAAAGCTTTTTTAACCTTTTGTTAATTAAAAATATATTTTCGGGCCAGGAGTGGTGGCTCACCCCTGTAATCCTAGCACTTTGGGAGGCTGAGACAGGCTGATCACCTGAGGTTGAGAGTTCGAGACCAGCCTGACCAACATGGAAAAACCCCATCTCTACTAAAAATACAAAATTAGCCGGGCATGGTGACACATGCCTGTAATCCCAGCTACTTGGGGGCTGAGGCAGGAGAATCGCTTGAACCCAGGAAGCAGAGGTTGCGGTGAGCCAAGATCGTGCCATTGCACTCCAGTCTGGGCAACAAGAGCAAAACTCCATCTCAGGAAAAAAAAAAAAAAAAAAAAAATAAATAAATAAATAAATAAATAAATATATATATATATATTTGTTTTCAAAAATATGTATATTTTATATTTATAACTTTTAACATATATTTTCCATTTATCGTTTTTTAAAAATTTTGTTTCCTATTTTGAAACAACAATTAAGTTAGATTTAAGACATTTTTTAAAAATAACGAGCATATTTTAAAAGTCTTTTTATAGTTTTTAAATTAAAAATATATTTTATTTGGAAATAAGCTATATATTTAATGAGTACTTATTATTTAATTTAACATGAGGAATTACTTTCTTCTTCTGCTGATGTCAATTTGAATGTTGGCAGTTTCCAAGGAAGAAGTTGAGGGTTTTGGTGAAGATTGCCATCCGTCTCCAACGCTAAGCCTAAAATAACTAGGATAGCATTGCAAAAGGATCGCAGGTTGGAGACATGTTTCAAATGTTCCTGTAACTGAACTTTAGGAGAGGGCGCCATATGCAGAGGTGCAAGGAAACCAAATGTGGGTAACCAAAGTAGAATGGGTATCCCTAAGGAGAAACTGAGATGGTCACAATTTATCTGACAGAAGATTTAGGCACTTCTTAGTGTCTCTGCAGATCCGTGATTCTGCTTCGCACAGGCGGAGAGGCTCTCTTCTGGTCAGGAGAATTCTAATAGTGCTCTTTCAGGTATTTTTCCAGGCAGGATCAAACCCAAGGGAAAAGGAATCTATGAAGCAAACCAACACCACAGCTTAGTCACAGTAAACTGATTGTTGCTTTCAACTGATTGTGTGCGAAGCACTAGAAGGAGGCAGCTTCTGTTTGAGGAGAGCAGTGAAAGCCAGTGTATCTATCTGCCCTTCCTTTGGCTGGAGGTTCATAATCAGCATTATATTTCTGTTTTCTTTCAAAGTTTAACACTTTTACCAGCTAAGAAACAATGTTATTCAGTTATTCTTTAACTTTCCAAAAGAAAGTTAATGTCATAGATAGCCACTGGAGCGGTTTAAGGGAAGATAGACTGATCTATGACATTAACTTTCTTTTTTTTTTTGAGGCAGGGTCTCCCTCTGCCACCATCTCTGCTCACTGCAACCTCTGCCTCCCACTTCAGCCTCCAGAATAGCTGGGACCACAAGCACATGCTACCACCCCCAGCAATTTTTTTGTATTTTTAGTAGAGATGGGGCTTTGCCATGTTACCCAAGCTAGTCTCAAATTCCTGAGCTCAGTGATCCACTGCTTGGGCTTCCCAAAGTGCTGGGAGCTACATTGGTACTTGCTGTGTACCAATGGAAGCTCTTGGCTGCCTTCTAGCTGCTGAGCTCCAAGGAGCCACCATCTTGACAGGGCTGACTGTTGTTACCCTTAAGTCTCTTTTAATCAACAGAATGGCTTTTTTTGTTGTTACTTATGTCATTTAGTTTTAGTTTTATGCCATTTATTTATTGAAGAAACTGGGTAATTTGTCATGTGTGATTTCCACATCCTGGATTTGAATTTGTAACCTTAGGATGTCATTTATCCTCCATGTAAACTCATACTATATTTCTCAGAGTTCTCCAAAGAAACAGAACCAATAGAATATATAGAAATATAAGGTGGAATTTATTATGGAAATTAGCTCATGTGATTATGGAGGATGAGAAGTCCCACAATATGTCATCTGCAAGCTGGAGAATCAGGAAAGCTGGCAGGTGGCAATTCAGTCTCAGTCTGAATGTCAGAGAACCGGGAGTGGGGAAGCAGGTGGGATGGGGGAGGATGAGTGTCACAGATCACACAAATTTCTTTTTCTTATAAATTACCCAGTCTGTGGTATTCTGTTATAGCAACACAAATGGACTAAAACACATTAAAGATCTTGGTTCCTAGTGGCATTCACTTTATCCCATTATATAAATATAATAGTTTTGAAATACCACTACCAACATTATTACTAGCAATAAGTCTACTGAATATTGTTTAAGATTTCTTTCTTTCTTTCCTTTTTGAGATAAAGTTTTGCTCTTGTTGCCCAGGCTGGAGTGCAGTGTGATCTTGGCTCATCGCAACTTCCACCTCCTGGGTTCAAGTGCTTCTGTTGCCTCAGCCTCCCGAGTAGCTGGGATTACAGGCATGCACAACCATGCCCGGCTAATTTTGTATTTTTAGTAGAGGCGGGGATTCTCCATGTTGGTCAGGCTGGTCTCTAACTCCCAACCTCAGGTGATCTACATGCCTCAGTCTCCCAAAGTGCTGGGATTACAAGCATGAGCCACTGTGCCCAGCCCTAAGATTTCTTTATATTTGTTTTGTTCAGATATATTTCACCATATATTGTACAGTGTGGAAAGTAAAAAGTTCCTCTTCAAAGTTTCCCAGCCCGGCGAGGTGGCTCACGCCTATAATCCCAGCACTTTGGGAGGCCGAGGCAGGTGGATCACAAGGTCAAGAGATCGAGACCATCCTGGTCAACAAGGTGAAACACCGTCTCTACTGAAAATACAAAAATTAGCTGGGCATGGTGGCGTGCGCCTGTAGTCCCAGCTACTTAGGAGGCTGAGGCAGGAGAATTGCCTGAACCCAGGAGGCAGAGGTTGTGGTGAGCCGAGATTGCGCCATTGCACTCCAGCCTGGGTAACAAGAGCGAAACTCCGTCTCAAAAAAAAAAAAAAGAATAAATAATAAATGTTAGAAATAAACTGTTATTTCAAGAAATAATAGTTTCTTTTAAAGACTAACTTCGTTCAAAGCCTTCTTGCTTTTTGCTAATAAACCTTTGTTAAGTCCTATCCTATGTAGCTGTTAGATACAAAGGAATAGGGGCATTCGATATCCTTGTAATTTAACCAAGATATTTGTTCTTGACATACTCAGGCATGTCCCAGTTCGCAGCCTATGCCCCTTCCTTATTTAAAAATGTTTTTACTTTTCTAAGTCCTTTCACAAGCAACTTACCCTTTTCCTTTGCTCTGCATTGCCTTTACCTATTTAGCAAAGTTTTTAGTTGTTAGACAGTCAGGTTTAGCTTAGACTGTGGGGTCCAGCTCCAACCAACAGAGATAGGACACAGAAGTAAGGACCCAGTGCATAAGGGATAAATATTCCTACCTTTCCTTTGTTTAGTGTGCTCTCGTGGCAGGACTACTGATGAGTAACACCCTTTGTGTAGAAAGTAAAATTGCCTTGCCAAGAAAATTCTTTGAGCACTATTCTTTTCAGCACCAAGGAATGAACGTTTCTAACATATAGCCTGTATATACTGTCCCACTATACATTATACACAATTATACTGTTTCAAAATCATGTGAAAGAATTCTCTGTGTGATTATGACACAACTTGATAGACCAATGGGTTTTTATTTTTTTATGGTGATTACTTTTTTGTAAAATTTATTTGATTGCTTTTTGGTAAAATTTATTTTAAATTTTATATATATTTTATCAAAACTACAAAACAAGGCACATTCAGAAAGTTATAGCTTCCATCCCTACTCTTTTTTCAATAGGTAATATTTCTATTAGTTTTTATTTTAACACCTTTAAATTTTGAAAATGGAAGCAAATGTATAGGTATATACTTTTATTTTTCTTCCATTCACACACACAAAAAATGCAATATTATAATATTCTTCTGTATGTTACTTTTTCTCATTTTCATTCTCTAACCATTTATAGAGATAATCCTTTTTTTTTTTTTTGAGACAGAGTCCTGCTCTGTTGCCCAGGCTGGAGTGCAGTAGCATGATCTCTGCTCACTACAACCTCCACCTCCCAGGCTCAAGTAATTCTCCTGCCTCAGCCTCCCAAGTAGCTGAGATTACAGGTGCACACCACCATGCCCAGCTAATTTTTGTATTTTTAGTAGAAACGGAGTTTTACCATGTTGGTTGGGCTGATTTTGAACTCCTGACCTCAAATGCCTCAAATGATCTGCCCACCTTGGCCTCCCAAAGTGCTGGGATTACAGCTGTGAGCCACCATCACACCAGCCATTTATTTGTGTTTTTACTGGAGACGAGGTTTTACCATGTTGGCCAGGCTGATCTCAAACTCCTGACTTCCTACCTGCCTTGGCTGCTTTGGCCCCCCAAAGTGGTGGGATTACAGGCATGAGCCACCATGCCTGGCCTTATAAAGATATTATTAATTTTTTTTAACAGCGGAATAGTAGTTTGTGTGCGACCCCGACGTGATCCCCTGCCCGGTACCCGATCCCAAGTAACAGCTCGAGCGAGAGTTGGAAGCCGAGTTCAGGTTTATTGGGACCAGCGGGCAGGCCAGGAAAGGAAGGAGATTGGGGGCTGGCTGCGACTGCGCAGCTGGGGTAGGAGGGTTTTATAGGGGGGGTGGACGGGGCGTGGATACAGGGCTGGCTGAGTGTCGTAGGAGCTTAGGATAGGCTGTCCGTCTCTGGGCGGACTGCTGAGGTAGCTCAGAGGGTTATGTGTCGGTTCAGGATAGGCCGAGGCTTGGCGGGCTTTCCTGCTGCGATGATTGGCTGCTTGTTGTTGCTAGGCAGAACAGAGCAGGCTTGGCGGGCTTTTCTCAGGGCAGCAAGAAGCCTGGGGGGAGGGTGGGGGCAAGAAACCTGGGGGAAAGATGGCGGGACTTTCTACCGAACATTCCCGACTCCTTAAAGGACAAAGGGCGGCTGAGTCATTCTGGCTACTTCCTGCTGTACAGGGGCGAAATGGGGTTTTTT